ATAATCAGTTTCATTATGTGACACGCTGTTTCATCTCTTTTTTTTTTTTTTTTTTGGCAGGCAATTTTCTAGGTTGTGTTTGCATTACATCTTCCTTTTAAAAAAAAATCAGAAATATTTTCAGTGGAATTTCTTTCAGCACGCAATTACATTCATTGTTTGAAGAGCTAATTTTGATGATATTTGTAAATAATTAGTTTCCTTTTTCTTCAGAAAATCAGAAATATATTTAAGCAGTGGGAATTTATAGAATATTTAAAACACATTCTTCAAGAAAACAGGAAATAGCTATCATTAACATTTGTTCAGTTCAGTATCTTTCACCAGCATCATTCAACTTTCAGTCTTCAACAAGATAAATTAAAGGAGAAATTATGTCTAAAAACTTATTCCAAACATTTAATATGAACTCTATTCAACTGATAACATCTACTTTTTTTTTTATCTTGAGATTTGAATTTGAAAAGGATGCCACGGGCTTACATTATACTCAAGATACAGTGGCAAACTTAACTTTTGTTGAATGTAGGACCAACAATTCCAGAATCAGTCAACAGCAGTTAAACATGAATCTTAGGAAAATGAAATCTAAACACAGAATTGTAATGGATCCATTCAGAAATGCCAGGAATTACACTTATGCTTTATCACACTTTTGGCACTGAGTCTGATACATGCAGGTTCAAGGGAAAGCAATCCCATTAAGAAGTTGGTTAGTAAGCCCAAGAATTAGCATTCCACTTGCACTGAAGTTCCTTCAGAAGTAGATAACAGATGGAAAAGAAGGAAAAGTCTGAATTTGTACTTAAGATCTATCTGGCAACCAAATTGTTACTAGGTGTTGCGTAGGTATCACCTGTGAAGATGCCAAATAATTTAAAAATATGTTCATATTTGGTTACTGTTTCTTATTTATTTTGGCAGTGCTCTGGCTCTGATCCCTCAATTGAAGCCCTGGCCTTGGAAGAGCCATCAGAAGTGCCCCAACTGTGGAATCCAATTTCCAAAAGTTCTAAACACTTGCAGTCACAGCCAAAGCTGATGGGTGCTGGGAGTGGTTAGCCCACCCTCCTGGAAACCACATACATCTTCCACATTGGTCACTTCCTCACTGAAAAAGTACTGCACTTCTGATAGGAAATTGTGCCGTGGGAAGAAATTGCAGTTTGGAAGAGGAATATAATAACACCCTTCTGCCAAACAGTGATATTGTAAAGAAAATTATAATACATGCAGTTTTCCTGACATTCAGACACTCTGGTAGTTGAAATCAAAATGAGGCCTATTGCCGCAGTATGACTAACGATGAGAAAATGAAATGTGAAGAATGAAGAGCTTGGTGAAGAGCTGCCTCATTCACCAAGTACTGTTCACCCAGGTTGCTATTGGACAGAAGCAAACTATGGTAAAAATAGCAAGCAGTAATTTGAGTATGAGGTAACTCTGTTAATGATTACTTCGTAAGGCATGTATACAATGAAGACAAACAAAGACAGGTTAAGTTCAACAACCACAAGAACAACTAGGCTGCTAGCTGAAAAGTACTTGGCTTCACTAGTCTAATAATGCTTAAATATGTAGAATTAGACTGCATATAATATAAACTTTAAACCTAACATGATTGCTGCTTTACACAGTATCTTGCAGAATTACCTGTCTTATTAGACGTGGCTTTGTACCAACTTCAGTTTAATCTACTGAAAACCAGATTTCTTCTCAATATGTATTCAGTTAAGAATCATGCCAGAAGATTTACACCAAAGAGGGGTGGGGAGGAGTGGGAAAGAAAAAAACATTTTTATATATATTTCTGAAATGTGAGGAAGTTATTTTCTGGGAAGGAAAACAGCAAGGGTAGATTTGGATTCAGTAGGAAAACTGATATGAATGAAGAGTGGCAGTTGATAACAAGCCTAGAATACATCCTTTTCCTCCCTTGTAACATTTCTGACTGCCAGCACTACTTCCTTACAAAGTATATGTTCCTAAATGCATATTGGCTCTGCTACAGTTATAAGTCACTCTAAATTTCTCATATGCTATTTTATAGATGTTTCAGTATTCAGGAGTAAGAGAAGACCCTTTAACTTAGGAATACACACACACACACAAAAAAAAAAAAAAAGCTTCTTAGCTTAGACAAAAGGCTCAAAAACTAGTGAGAATGAGGACTTGGTCAGATATATGAATTACTGAAAGTATGGAAGAGAATGGGCATGTTTAGGCTGATCTGAACTGAATGGCCTCAGCTTGCATTGCTATTTAGCCATTACTCTGCAGTCCTGTTACAGTACTCCGTACAGGACTTGCAAGACCAAATTCTGTGCTGACTTATTCCATTTAGGGGACATCATCAGCAGGAAACTTTTCATGTCACAGAGGAATCCCCAACCCAAAGGTGTCTTGGAAAACATTATGCCTATGTCCACAAGTGCAGCCAGACCCAGCTTCATTCCTACAACTGCAAACATAACTTCAGCTTTTTGGCAAAGTCTGACCTCCTCCTGCCAGAGCCCTTACTTCAACCTTGTCAGAGCACACTGAAAGGGGGCTGCTGTGCAACTTGGCTGCTGTGTAACCATTCTCCAGATGGCACTTGTCCATTAAAGTATGCTTTGATGACTGGATCCATGCATTTTGTACAGGCATTTATTCTCTTAGCAGCCAACATTTCTTGTTGTATCTTGCTCCTGATCAGGCACAGCGTCCTTCCTCTTGCACCCACTGGGAAAAGCTGTGCCCAGCTGCAACGTTTTTGTCAGGTTGCCATGCTGCTGCCAGCCAGTACCCATGAACATGCAGGCATACTGGGAGAGAAATGCTGTGCAGGAGCGGTTTAAGGTCCAGAGGATTTGGTGTGCAGTGCAGAGGCTGCTTCCTCTGCACACCTGCTTCTTTGCCTTCTGCTGCTTCTTTTCCCACTCGACTTCTCACTGCACAGCCAGGAGAGCTGTCTGCTCCCTCCATCACAGGCTTCTCAGCTTTGCTTGTTCAGAGCAGCTTTAATTATTCCAGAATATTGCAGGCACTCCTTGGGGATAGGAGGCACAGGACATCTGTAAGCAGTCACAGAATTACAGAATGATTTGGGTTGGAAGGGCCCTCAAAGCCCACCCATCCCCACCCTGTGCTGTGGGCAGGGCTGACCCCCCCCCCCAGCTCAGCTGCCCAGGGCCCCATCCAACCTGGCCTTGAATGCCTCCAGGATGGGGCACCACAGCTTCTCTGGGCAGCTGTGCCAGCGCCTCACCGCCCTCTGAGGAAATATTATTTTTTCCTAAACTCTAACCTAAATTTCCCCTTATAGTTTAAAGGACCTCCCCCCCCCCCCCCAGTCCCACAGCTATTTTCTCATTTTCTGTTTCAAAGTAAGACATTTATATCAAGCTCCAATCTTTCCATTTATTTAGGACAGATACCACGCAAATAACACTACAATTTTAGACAGGATTGATTTTTTTTTTTTGCTTGTTTGATTTTTTGTCTTTTGATCTGTCTTGATTTGGTTTCAATCTCCTGGGCAGAAAGGGCAATAAATACGTGAATAAATCACAAAAGAAAAATGTAATGGATGGAGTTCTCTAATCTGCTATGATCTGTCTTCTGTCTTGAAAAATAGGCATACTCAGACACATTCAAATCAGCCCATTGTACTTCCGCTGTTGCTTAGTTGCAGATTCCTCTGATTTCTATGGCAGTTATCCAGAACATCATAATAATCTGGAATATTAAACACAGTCCGCAGGCAGTGACTTAGCTTTGTAATTCTTTCTTGGACAGATGTATCTCTGGGGTGTGTTCAGAGATGAGCAACAAAGCTGGTGAAGGATCTGGAGTACAAGTTTTATGAGGAGCAGCTGAGGGAATTGGGATTGTTCAGTCTGGAGAAGTTCAGGAGAGACCTGATGGCTCTCTGCAACTGCCTGAAAGGATGTTGTAGAGAGGTGTGTGTGTGTGTGTGGGGGGGTTGGCCTCTTTTCCCAGATGACAGCAATAAGACAAGAGATAACAGCCTCAAGCTGTGCCAGGAGAGGTTCAGGTTGGATATTGGGGAAAATCTCTGCTCTGAAAGAGCAGTGATATATTTGGAACAGGCTGCCCAGGGAGGTGGTGGGGTTACCATCCCTGGATGCGTTCAGAACCATGTGGATTTGGCACTGAGGGACGTGGTCAATGGGCATGGTGGAGGTGGGCTGATGTTGAACTAGATGGTCTTAGAGGTCTTTTCCAACCTCAGTGGTTCTATGATTTTGTGATTCTATTCTCACATGTGACAGGTTCAATCATATTAACATCCGTCCCCAAGGACAAAAAGATCTAGAATTCTTGAGTAGCAGGAAGCGACTTCTAACATCCAAAATGTGAAATATTGGGTGGATACTTCACAAAAGCATCTGAAATCATTCTGAGAGGTGTAAACAGAAGACGGCAAGCTCATAAACAAATTGCCAAACAAGAAAAAAAAAAAAAGAAACCTCAGCCCTCCTTGCACCCAATCCCATCTGTGATTAACGTAGCTATCTTCTGTCTGTAAGAAACGTTTGCATTTATTGAACGAAAGCCTTCAGCCCCAGCAAATCCTTTTCGCATATCTGTGCACTCCTTTCAGTGTACAGGCAGCCACAGCACCTGGATGCACACAGTCGAAAGTAAACAGAAACGAACCTAGAAAAGTTTTAAACTCTCACAATGCCGCAGGAACCAGCGAGTGTTTGAAGACAGGCACAGAAAACAAAAAGAACTTCCTTTTCCCTTCTGTTTATGCTTCATTTCCATGCCTGACGCCAAACTGATCGGGAAGTACCCAGCATTTGGCCAGCCCTACGAGGAATGTCGGCTCGGCTCGGCTCGGCTCGGCTCGGCTCGGCACGGCTCGGCTCGGCTCCACGGCCGCAACGCCAGCGCCGCCATCCGCGCAGGCTCGGAGAGGCCACAGCAACATGGTGACTGGTCGTTGCTATAGGAACTGCGCCATGCTGCGCACGTGGCCGGCGGGGAAAGATGGCGGCGCCCGTCTCGGTATGCCATGTCGCCTGCTGCGCCAACCGGGTGGCCGGCGGGGCCGTATCCTGGGGCCGCGAGGGGCTCCTCGCCTTTGGCAGCTGCCGGGACGTCATACTTTACCAGCCGGCGGTGAGCGGGGTGGGGAGGCGTGGTGGGGCCGGTCTGGCGGCGGTGCGGCCTAGCACCGGGTGTTTCTCCTCATCCCGCAGGCCAGGCGGACGGTAGCAGCGCTCCGCGGGCACGGCGGCAGGGTGAACTGCGTGCGCTGGGCACGGCGGCGGGACGGCGGTGAGTAGGTGGTATGGGAGGCCTGCGGGGCCCTTGTAGTAATTCCAGGTTTTAAAGTTACTGAGTGCAGCTCTTGAAGGCACGTGTTCCTGTCCTTAAGCTTCCTGAGGAAAGGGAGTGGGGCTGCTTGTCAGACTCTTATTATATTGTGCCCATGTTTGTTTTGGAGGGGAGTGTTGCTAAGCACTGAGGTGAAGCCATTCCTCCTTAATAATGATATAAACTGGCATCCTTTCAAATGGTTACACTTACGTGTTTTCTTCGCAAGTACTTTTTTTTTTCTATATTAATACTATTTTTTTTGTGCCTGTGTGTGTCATTTCTTGTTGTGTGGTTTTTAAGTAAAACAAATTGTTTTCTGAGAACTTGGCAACATATAGTTATAAAGGTTAGAAGAGAACTCTAAGATAATTTAGTCCAGCTTTCAGCCCATCCCCACTGTGCCCACTGCCCTTATCCTTCAGTGCCCCATCTTCATGTTCCTTGAGCACCTCCATGGATGGTGACTCCACTGCCTCCCTGCCATTAGCCTTCTTGGCCACCTGAGCATGCTTCTGGCTCATGTTCAGCTGAGTATAGACCAGTACCCCCTGATCCTTTTCCTTTATGCAGCTTTCTAGCCACCTGCCCCAAGCCTGCAGTGTTGCGTGGAATTGTTGAGAGCAAAGTGCATGACTTGGCACTTGGTCTTGTTAAAGCTCATGCAGCCTGAAATTAAGTTTTCATGTGAAGGTTCATGTTCTGTGGAGTCATAATTTTCTTGCTTTCTTGTTGTTTTATTTATTTGTTTTTTTTCCTGTCCCTCAAAAAGACAAACATATTAAATTACTCTGTTGCATTTGAGAATCTTTTTAGAAAGATATCCATCATATTCATATGAAGTGTTGAGTATTTCTGTAATTCTTCTCTACCTGTTATTTTGAGTAATTCTTTTGCTCTTGAGTTCTCATGTACTGTGCAACTTTCATGGCTCATACTTTATTTTAATGAGAACTTTGTGTATAATTGATAACTGTGATAAGTAGTTACTTATGTAAGTAGTAAACAATTTAACTGCTTTGTGTTGCTGACCGCTGTTACAAAGTAAGAGCTCACAAAAGTTGTGGAATGTGTTTTTTAGCAACTGAAACTGAGTTAGTTTCTGGCGCATCTGATAAAAAGCTCATTCTCTGGGAGTGGAATAGGACAGGAGTTTGGAATGATCAGGTAAGTAGAAATATCCTCCTTTTAAAGCTTCCCTCCTCCCTCTCCCCCCTTTTTCCTTGTTTTTTTTTTTTTTATTGTATACCTCAAATCAAGTTATTTGTTTTGCCTGTAGTTTTTGTGCCTCTTTATTGCACTATGACAGTTGAAGCTCCATGTGCATCTCCTCTAGACTGCTGATACTATATCATGCTATGATTTGACCTAAATGTTGTTTCTTCTCTTCTGTAGTTAATCTTTTTTGAGATCAGCCAACCAGTCATCATGTGGATTTGTCTAGCTTGTCTAAAATATCCTATTTGTCTGATTATGAGTTTTCAACTTTCTCCTCTCCAACTTTTCTTTAAACTGCCTTAATATCTTGATACTCTGAAGTTCATTTTTAGTATGTGTTTTATGTGTCCTTCTTTCTAATTTCTTTACATTGATTTTTTTAGTGGTTTCAGTCTGCATGACAGTGTTTTATACACAGGCAGTCTGACAAGGATGATACACGAGGTAGGATAGGTATTTAAAAAAGCACTTCTGCAACAGTTGATTTCAGTCAAAAATGTTGAGACAAGTAAAAAGGCTTGCTTATTTATTACTCATACTGTAAAAATGGAAGGAAGAAGATGAAGTATGACATAACAGACTTCAGAATGGACTGAAATGTAGGAAAAGGTGTGTTATGTAACTTATTTTTAAAATATTAAGCACTGCTTGTGAATGCTGTGTAGATAACCTATTTCAGAGGCTATCTCATACTACTTTTGACTATGTTTTAAAATGCATGAACATAGTAACACACTGGGGGAAAGTGTCCATATAGTGATCATTATCAGTCTTGTTTATTGGAGGAATGTTCTTGGAAGCGAGTAATTTCTGTTTTTCATCTGTTGTAACTTTTAACATATTGATGTAAAATAATGTACAGATTTATTTAGTAACTTCTTCCATTAATGTGCACAGCCTCATTTAAACCTTTGAAAAAGAATGTGACTAAATTTTCACATTTAAATGACTGTTCTATACAAGTGTACGTTAAACAAGCAAAGTTCTGAATTGAACCAATTAGAAATGTTACTAGGGCTTACTAAGCTATCTTTTGGAAAGTGATGACAATTTGGATAAAAGCTAGACTTCTTCTAGTTTGAGAATTAAAAGCTTCTCGTTTTGCTATTTGTATTTATGAGGAGTGGATTACAAAATATCAATTCCCTAAGAAACTTAAGTCTAAATTCAGAGATTTGGGTTTTGTCAGTATTTTAAAGAAATCTTTGATTTGTGAAAGCCCACAGAACAGAGCTGCTGTAGCTGCTACTTATTCCATTGTGTTCTCTATTTTGCCTAAATTGCTAAGGTTCTCTGTACTTTTGGGAGATGTCCTGTATAGGTAGGGGCACGTGAATGAGAAAAAGGAAGAAAAACTGCTCATCCTAACCTAACTACTATCATATATCCAGGCAGCCTCAAGGAAAGGTGAAGTTTTTCTAGTGCACACAAGAGAACTTGTCAAGTTCATGCTCATTACTGCTGTATCCCTTTTCTGTTTTTTATAGAATGTGTTACAGCTTAATCATAGCTTGGCAGAAGCTCCACCACCATAAACGTACAATTTGTTTTCAGTACTAAGGGTTGTTGTTTCTTTTTTTCCCCTCCTTTCCTTAAAATGTTTTTAAAAGTTCTCATGGATAATTTGCTGGAGTTTAATTGTGCTTGACTTTTTTTTTTTTGACTCTATAAAACTTTCTTATGTTTTCAGCTTGCGAAAAGCGTTCCTCTCGAAGGCCATACTGAAGCTGTTTGTGCTGTGGATGCTGTCTACCAGTCAGATGAACCTGATTTAAATCTGTTAATAGCTTCTGCAGCATCTGACTCTACTGTGAGAATTTGGTCTCGACATGATTCAGAAGGTAGGATTTTTTTTTTTGTTTTTTTTTCTTTTAAATTTAGGGACAATGTTTTGTTTTTTAATTGAAAGACAACATACTGGCTTAATAAAATTGATGATATTCATCCATTGAGTACTTGGCTAAATACTAACATCTTCTAATGCAACCACACTGATTTCCCTTCAAGCTTTGTCTCAACTACAGTGTTTTTTTGAAGGCTGGGGGCTATAGAAGCTTAGCAGCTTTGGGTCAAATTTATTTCTCAGAATGACTTATCTCTGTTCTTTATCAGTGATGAGTTGGCTGAACTTAACAGCCTCTTTTTGATTTGTTCTCAGAATCTGATCATCATTTTTCCTTGTAACATGGGACAAGCTAGCTCTGTGTGTGCTTATGTGAAATAAAGTTACTGTGTAAAATGAAGCTGGAATGAGAAAAGTGAAATTAAACTAGTCACTTGTTACTACTGACTTGAGTCCAATGAAATATAGGATAGTAGGTCTTCTTTTGAACTAGGCCTATTGTATGGTCAGAGAGAATAATTAGGATAGATAATCTAGATATCAAGTGTTACTTGTCAAGTTGTGTTGACTACATCTCTCCCTACTTTCTTTGCTATCTGGTGTACTAAGGATTTCCCGTTGGCTTATTGAGTGAGATAAGTAGTTGGGAGTTGCCAGTCTTCAACCCATGTTCTAGAAGGCATTTCTCATGCTCCCAGAGGACACCCTGATGTCCTATCCTTTCCTTTTGGTCTTGCTGTTGTGAGTTTCAGAAGCAGAAAAAACAGTTCCTTTTTAATTCTACTTCTGTAGGAAAGTTGTTCTGCCATCCTGTTTGTTACTCTGATCTCGGTGGCTCACCAGTTTAATCGCTTCCTAGGATCTCAAGGATGAAGAGAGGAAGGCTGGATTTGCTCCTATCTTTATCTGCTTTTGTAGCAAAGAATTCAGTTTTTGCTTTCCTTGTAGTGAATGCTTTTGCCACTGGATGTAATTTGGAATATTTATTGCTTCTGATGTGTTACCGGAGGGAGCTGTGCAGTTTTAATACTTGATGGAGAATAGTGACTTATGTTGTAATTTGGCTAACTCTGGATGGATTGCCATGAGCCCACAGAAAATGAAATTGAGGGTAATTTTCCCTCTGAAAATCAATGGCTTTTAAAAAAAAGTCTTGCAGCTCTTTAAAATAAAATTGAACAGGAAATTTTAACTATGTAATATAAAAAGAGATGGCAGTGTAACTGTGGTACGATGAATAAGTTCAACAGTGTCTGTTCTCATTTTTCAGTTAAATGCATTGAAATTCTGCAGTTTGGAAATGGATTTGTTATGGATGTTTCCTTATCCTTCTTGACTGGCAGCAATGGTGAGTAAGTAGAGCAGCATATCTTGAATATCAGTGCAGGAAAAAATAAAATCTAAAATTTCCCATGTGTAGCAGGTTTTCATTTAACCAACTTCAGACTCCTATGCCGTATATTTTGTTTCCTAGGGAATTAGCCTAAACTTCTGCCTGTACTCAAAGACTTCAGCTGAATTTTTCTAGGCAATTTGAATAATTCTGTCTGACTGTGGCATTTTCAAAGTGGTTCTCAAAATTCATGTTAATGACTTTTTAAAAATGAAGTAACTGACTTCAGTGAAACTCAGCGTTTTGTAATCTGCCCTTACTTGAGAAATAAATTGTCTAGCCTTGGTAACTATTTCTTCATAATTCTTTAATTTGTTCCTTTTTTTTTTTTTTTTTTTTTTTTTTTTACTATTCCAGTCCCTTGCAATACTGCTTCATCTTTAGATCTAAAAGGACTGGAGCAAGTGTTAACTATTTTTCTTCAGCATCTTCTACCTACCTTCACGTGTTTTTCCCTCAGTCTTAACTTTGTTTTGCTCAAGTCAACAGACCAGTGTTTTTTTCCTGATTCCTAGTTAGTTTCTATGAGCTGTCTACTGCTGAAAGCTCGAGTAGACGTGTAACAATGCTAACTGCTTTCATATTCTTGCATGTAGTAAGTCTGTCTTCGTTCTTATTTGCTGTATAACTGTCCATCCATATACTCATTTCAGTTGATCAAGGACTCAAACTGTTTTAGTTGTGAGTCATTTTGTTTTGCTATTCGCTCCTTTTGTATTTAGAGGAAATGCTGTTTATATGTATTAATTTTATTGCTATCAACACAAATCTCTGGTGCTTGAGCTTCCTTGGAGATGCATTAGCATGAAGAAAACTACTCAAATTAAACATCTGTAGATATTACTTAGGTGCCAAAAGAACTTCTGAGCTTTATGTTCCTGAAATACCAAATTTTCATTCATACAATATTAATTATCTGATTTAGAATATGTTAAAGCAGTGGTATCTTGTCCCACTATACATTTGTATTGTTTTATTGCTTTTTCTTATTTGTTATTTCTCATCTCCTAGAACACTAATTTTGTAAATTTAGTAATGAAGACTTTTTTTTCCTCATTTTCAGTACCAATACTGGCTTGTGGTGGTGATGACTGCAAAATAAACTTGTTTATACAGCAGAATGGTCAGGTAATTACAGCTTTTTGTCTCTTGCTTTGAACATTACACAGTGCTTCTTCTCATATGTATCTTATTTTTTTTTTTTTAATTTCTTCAGTAATTATTATCTGTCTCCAGATAACAATCGCACGCAACCACCTCTGTTCAAATAATTCATTCATTTTCTAGGTAATGATGAAATTCTTGTACAGAATGTTCAACCCGGATCCAGTAGAAGTGTTATTCCTCCTAATATTTCCCTATGTGAAGAAGCCTGTAGTTTTTGTTCCCACTGACAAGGAATAGTTATGACTGTCCCTGATTACTCAGTATCCATGTGCTGAGTGTTTCATATGGAAATGATGAGGGGTTTTTTTTTTTTTTTTTCAGTCTGTGAATTGTTGCAGTAAAACTGATATTTTCATCTGTAGAATTGTATTTTTGTTGTTAAGTATGCTGTTTGTGCTGGATGTTTCTGAATGACTAAACAAGTATTTGAAACGATATCTGATATTCTCTTGGCATACACATTTTTCATGTATTACTTGGAAGCTGACAATACTTAGTCTTCCATATGGTTAAGTGTTCCTTCTGGTGCACTGCAAATAAATTATCCTCTTGCGTCTGTTCAGCAGCTTTGTTGTTAGACCCTAAAGAGTGTGTTCCATAATTGTCTTCCACACCAGAGGTCAGTGACACTTCTTTCTTTTCGGTCCCTTTAAAAAAAGTTGAACAACCAGGGACCGTCCTCCAAAGCCCAAATGAACTTACCAATCAAAAACCTGAACTGAAACCAACATAAATGGGAACTACTCACTTTCTGCTCAAATACAGTCTCCCAGGATTTTTAGGCCTTTTAAGAAAGATTAAGCTTCCTATAGGTTATTCTGCCTATTCAGGTAGTCATATACAAGAAGACTTTTTGTCAATAAAAGAAATGCTTCATCCTTTTATTTCTTGTGTTCAGTGATATCTTCACTGCTAACTAGGAAAATGGAGTCAGTTTCTAAGTTTTTTCTTTTCTTTTTGTCCTCAGTGTGTAGCTTATGAGTTAAATCAGTTCAATGACATTCTCTAAGAACTAGCACTCATGATTCTCAGTGTGTAGTAGTGCTAAAGAAAGATATGTACATCAGGTGTTGTGCAGCTTATTTTTATATTTACAATTTGTATCTTGTTTTTTTTTTTTTTTTGTATGGCTCAGATTAGCAAACAATATGCAATTTAGCTGTCCAAAATATTTACACATACATAACTTATTTTGCCAGTTGCTGTATGCCTTTTGAGGATAACAGCATTCTTAACTGCAGTCTGTGGATGGATCGAGGAAGGTAACTGAAATAAGTTAAATCTCCAGCTTCATGTAGGCAAGTTTATACTGCTGTCATTTTTGGATGTAGGAAACATTATTCATGTAAAAAAGGTGTGGAATTTTGTATTGACTTTTTTGTTTTCTTTTTCCCCTCACACCTTCAATTCTATGAAGTATTTTCACATACCAGCTACCTTGGCAGAGATGGAATTTAGAGTCAGTCTCTGTCACGCAGAATCACACAATCACGGAATCTAAGGTTGGAAACAACCTTCAAGATCATCTAGTCCAACCACCCTCCTATTCCTATTAGTACCACAAGCCACTAAACCATATCTCATAGTTCCTCATCCAGGTGCATCTTAAACACTGCCAGGGACGGCGACTCCACCACCTCCCTGGGCAGCCATTCCAGTGCCTGACCACCCTCTGAGAGAAAAAGTTCCTCCTAATGTCCAACCTAAGCCTCCTCTGGTACAACTTCTGGCCGTTTCCTCGGGTCCTACTATTTGCCTGGGAGAAGAGGCCAAACCCTTTTACACCACATCCTCCCTTCAGGAAGTTGTAAAGTGCAATGAGGTCTCCCCTGAGCCTCCTCTTCTCCAGACTGAACAATCCCAGCTCCCTCAGATGCTCCTCATAAGATTTGTGCTCCAGACCTCTCACCCTTCTCTGGACATGTTCCAGGGCCTCAATGTCTTTTTTGTAGTGAGGGGCCCAAAACTGAACACAGTACTCAAGGTGCAGCCTCACCAGTGCTGAGTACAGGGGGATGATCACCTCCCTGCTCCTGCTGGCCGCGCTATTTCTAATGCAGGCCAGGATGCCGTTGGCCCTCTTGGCCACCTGGGCACACTGTGGGCTCATGTTCAGCCGAGCATCAACCAACACCCCCAGGTCCCTTTCCTCTTCACAGTCGTCCAACCACTCATCCCCAAGCCTGTAGCGCTTCATGGGGTTGTTGTGGCCAAAGTGCTGACCTGGCACTTGGCCTTGTTAATCCTCATCCCATTCACCCTGGCCCTCTCAGTGAGGTGAGGCTTCTGTTTGGTTCTGTCTTAACTTCCTGAAACGTGACTGTGAAGTGAAAAGCACATATTTGATTCCATTTAGATTAAAAATGTATGTATGGTACACTACAGCTATTAACAGAATGAAAACATCCTTGGAGTTTCCTGCCATAAATTCCTTTCTGGCTGCTAAAGGGAGATTCTCCTCTTCAGTCAGATTCTCTCAGATTTGCTGACATCTTTTATGGCTGCTATAGCTCTTTTTTTTAAAGTTATTTGAAGGAAGTGTTGTTATTGTCCTGCCACTTTTCAGCAGAACTTGATGTTGGGGAGAAGTTAGAACCTGAACTTCTACATTCTTCCTTTGCTGGTAAGGTCCCATAGCTCAGCTCTATTAATTTTTAGAAATCTAAGTAAGACTATGAGTACAGAGGTAGAATGTGAGTTGGCAATGGGACGTACTAATGAAACTCCGATGGCATTGTTGTAGTCAGAGGAAGGGCGAGATATCTTCAGGTTATTTTTTTTAGTTGAGTCAGGCTGCTTTTTGGGTAATCCCATGAATTTGACAGCTGAAATATCACTATTTGTAAAACTGCTTGATTTTTGAAATAGAGTGGATGATCCTCTATTTGGAGATCCCTTAGAGTGTTTAGTAGAAAGTAAACAGTCTCTTTGCTTTTCTGTGTTCCTGAAAGAGGCTATTGATTTATAAAAGTACTTAGGGAAAAATCTCTAAGAAATAATTTTATGTCTTCCTGCTTGAGATGTTATGGTCCTGTGAAGGGGAAACAAAGCAAACAATACTATCAAAATAGAGCTTTAAAATGATGCCCATATGTTGAGCTTGGCGGTTGTAAGAAAATTTGGTTGTGTATATTTAGTGATTTCCCTCAAATAATTTGCTTTGGTTGAAAAGCAAAGTAAGAGAACCAAAGATAATTTGGCCTCTTTCTAATTCTGAGAAGATTGTCAGCTGGATAGAGGAGGTAAATCACATCTACTGTCTGGCAAAGAAAGACTTGGACCTCTGCAGCCTCTTATACTATCACTGGGCACCACTGAAAAGAGGCTGCCCTCATCTTCTTTGCACCCTCCCTTATGGTACTTGTATACAACTGAGGTTTCTTTGAGCCTCCTGTTCTGTCCCAGCTCTCTCGGCCCTTCCTCACTGAAGAGGTGCACCAGTCCCTTAATCATCTTTGTCATCCGTTGTTGGGCTTTCTCTAGGAGTTCCGTGTCTCTCTTGTACTTAGGAGCTCAGATCTGGACATATTTCTCCAGGTCTAGCTTCACTGGTACTGAGGGGAAGGATCACCCCTGTCAATCTGCTCACCATACTTTGCTTAATATAGTCCAGAATACCATTAGCTTTCTTAGAGACAAGGGTATACTGGTAATTCATGTTCATTTGGTATCCACCAGGATCCCCAGGTCCTTTCTGGTTAAGCTCATTCTGGAACCTGGGGTTATTCCTCTCCAGGCTTTGCACTTTTCCTTTTTGACATTCTTGAGGTATCTGTCAGCCCTTTCCTCCAGTCTGTAAAATGGAATATTCCACCTGTTACAAATAGAAGTATACTACTAATGAAATTTGTCAAAGGGCAATCTGGACTATGTTATTGTCACTGTGAATCTCAAGTGTTGAGGTTATGTTTATGAAGAGGTATCTATCCACAGATACAGTTCTTCATGTACAGCACCCTTTGAAACTTAGTTAATAAACTTGAGAGGTAGGGAATGTTTCTGGTCCCTTATGTCATTCTTATGGTATCATATTCAAAGTTAATTATGGAAATAAATTTGGCATCTGTACTTTTTATGCTCAATTTTTACCTATATTCATTTTTTTACATCATCTGAAGCTGCATCTGCTTTGCATCATTATTTACTGTGTCATCTGCATTGTTTTATTGTGTTTGTTTACCACTATAAGCATGATTTATTTAAAATAAATAACATGCAATCAATATCATAGAAAGTCTGTAGCATCTTGGAGGTGAACTCCTTCAATTCTCATGCTTTCCTGCTGGTGTATGGGAAGTGGCATAATGGAATGTGTTCATGCAATGATAACAAAACAGAAAAGCCCATTTAGAATATGTCAGTAAATAACAATATTTAATAGCAGCTTTTTTTTTTTTTTTTTTCCAATTTCAAATAATAGAAACTGTAAATGTAAACAAATTTGAAAGCTAATTGACCTTGTGTGCATAGTAATTGAGTACACTTCTGTATGATGTAACACGCATTTTTATTCAGTTTCAGAAAACAGTAATACTCCCTGGCCACGAAGATTGGATAAGAGGTGTTGAATGGGCGATCTGTGGTCAGTATGAAAGATGAATGAAGTAAAATACTGATTTAGTACTGCTGCTGTTCTACCACCCCAGCTGATGTTTTTGGCACACTGTGGCTTCTAAGCTCGTGTGGTTATGCGTTTTTTTTCCTGAGGTGATGACACAAATGTTAAAAATCAAGGTAGAATTTTGTGTCTTATTAAAAACGTAAGAATTGTTGAACCAATACCACAATTACTTATCAAGTTATCAGAATTGCCATACAGTAAGATTGATACAGAACATACTTGAGTTTACATCTCTCATTTTTATTGTGATCACTTCAAGTCTGTTTACCTAACTGCTGCCTAATGCAAATAGGAGCTTTAGCAATTTGTCCTCAGAATGACAATATCTGTGTCTGAGTAAGAAATAGTTTGCCTCTTGTTGAGGACAAAAAAGTAGTACTTTTCTTCTTTCTCCTAGTGTAGCTTTTTTTTTTTTTTTCTGTAAGATAGGAGATTGAGGAGAACCTATGTAGGTGGACAAAATAAAATAGAAAGCATTAGAGGAATCTATAATCCTGAAAGAAGAAAGGGAGGAAAGAAGTTCTTATAAGTATTAGATTGCTCATTATCAGAAATTAGGATAACAAAGGCCATAAGTAATAGAGAAACATATCTGGTATTTAGCACAATGTTTCTAACAGGCAGGGAAATGTTCATTGTCAGTATGATCTAAGCTAGTGGAGAGCTTGAAATGCTAAGATGAGTTGATGTTGAAATTAACCAGCAGTGTTGATACTTGTGCAATGGAAAGAATGAGGGTAATATTGTAATGAATATTTGGAGAGATGATTGGGGGTTGGACTCGATGATCTTTGGAGGTCCCTTCCAACCCCTACAATTCTGTGATTCTGTGATAAGTTAGTCATGGTATTTATTTAATGCAGTGAAAATATGGCTTTTTTTAGATTTTTTTTTTTTCTTTAACCAAATAGGTGATGATCTGTTCTTAGCAAGCTGTGCTCAGGATTGTTTGATAAGAATTTGGAAAGTGTGTACAAAATCAAAGCAGTGTTCAGAAATTGAGGATGATTCTATCAGACTGAAAGAGAATGTTTTTACTGTTAAAGGTAGGTAAAAGCTGTAAAATTCTCTTTTACAATTGGTTGTGTATCAATTGGTTGTGTATCTGGTAGTGGTTTTGGGAGGGTTGTCAAGAGGATTACTGTCTCATTTCTTTTGTTTCTTGTATTTAAAATAATCAGAGACCAGTTTAACTGCATTATTTTGTTCAGTTATTAGAAAAAGTTGAGTTTCTGTTTTAAAACAGCAAATATGTAAAAAGTTAACAATATGTTCCCAAAATGATGGAGTGGTGAGAAAACTTAATATCAACCTGTATTGTTACATGTATTCTAAATGCAGTACATAGTCATGAGATACATTTGTTTGTGGGAGATATGCTGTTATGTAGCTCCCCTCCAGCTTAATAACACATGTTAAATTCAATGCTTTAAAAGCATTGAATACTTAAACCTTAGCAAAGGGTTGGAGAGAACAGATAAATGTGTGCAGGTTTACTTTGTGTTTATTTAACATACATTTAGAGCGCTCTAAAGTCATAAGCTTGCAATTTTGACATTAGGAAGTATAACACTGTTTGTAGGATGATGTGTGTAGGAATTGCTGGTGAGACTTGATACAAATCCTAATTCATTGTTGCCTTTGCAATAATTTGGAGATACAAATATGTCTAAGTATATGGGCACAGCTGATATTGGACGATTTATTTCAGAGTTCCTTGAGAGCTCTCCAGGAGTTCTGCGATGCCACTGCGAGGCAATAGATGTCCTGTTACTGTCAACATGATATGCAGGCCTTGTGGCAAAGTATATTTTCAAGGATCTTTTCAATGCCAACAGGCTATTGAGATGGTGATAAATGATGAAAGCAGTTGATTTGTCATTGAAGATATCAGAAATGGTCTGGTTTTTTTTCTTGGCTTTTAGAAAGAAATGTGCTTTTCTCTGATTTGTGGTAGATGCTGATACAACATACGGAATTACTTTGGAGTCTGTGCTGGCTGGCCATGAAAACTGGGTGTATGCAGTCCACTGGCAGCCTTCCTTTTCCAAAGGTGAGCTGTTACCGAGCACCCTAGCAGTTATGCTAAGCATTGTATATATGAAGTACAGTCACATCTGTTTATTGTATTTGCATGTTCACTTGTCACTGTGGACTACAAAAATGTTTAAATTTTTCAACTGATGTTTTACAAGTAAATATATTTTACAAGTAAATATTCAGTCAAGTGTTTTGACTGAATGTGCTACAGTAGCAATCTTATGCACAGGATCTCTCTGTTGCCTAATGTTGTCTTTCACTTATGCCTTCTTTTGTGAATGAATTAACAGAGCTGTACTTGTTTTATTGTGGTTGATTTCCTACTTACGTAATAAGAAATAATTTATCATCATGCATTAGCAGCTCTAATGTTTGCTTTTGTTACATACATTTGAAATGTATGTTCTTTGGATGGTCAGTATTAACTTGAGTGCTCCTTTCTTCTTAGACTAGAAAGTAACAAATAGCAACATTTGGAATATGAATCTTCAGTCTTCCATGCATTAATTAAACAGGCCATGAATTCTTGAGTATCAGGTTTCTTTAGCTAGAATGTAGCTTTAAGGCATTAATGTGGAGTCTCATTGAAGATTGTTCTTTAACTTTACACCTTGCTCTAGTCTTTTTTTAAATCCTTTTTACATCTCAGTTTGTTGTGTTTGCACTATCAGAAGGCCCTTGTGGATTTGTTGTTCACAGACCTGCTTTTTCTTTTCTTTAGTTTGTTATATCCCTTATTTATTTTTTTTCTTTTGGACAGCAGTATAAGAATTTGCCTCTTAAATCAAGATTTATGCAAAACGTAGGCTTGTAAATCTTGCCTTACAATCAAAAAAATGTTTTATTGTTAGATGATGTTTTCCAGATACTTTGTATCAAGCTTCTGCATACATACCACTGCTTGTGTGGCCCTTCCTAGTCATGGGTACTCTGAAATAGATCTTCATGTTCACTAGAGGCAGGCTGATTGGAGAGACATATTTTGGGCACTGCTTATCACTTCTCAATGTAGAACACAGAAGATGTGGTGCTGATGTAAGATACTGCCTCAGAAGATGTCCAGAATGTCTTTTTCCTCAAACATTGTTTCCTCAAACAGTTCTCCTAGGCGCTTACCCAGCGCCTTTCCGCTCTGACTGTGTCCATGAATCTAAAGCTGAGTTCGAAGAGGAAAACAAACAAACAAACAAAAAAAACCCAACACAACATGGTGAATAGAGATGATTATTATTATTATTGGCATAGAGATTATTATTTTGTTTGAAGCTGGAAATTTGATAAGAAGTTGAGGAACAGAACCATAAACTTCTGTGTGGTCTCTCTGGAAGCTCTAGCTCTTCCTCCAAATAACATTTTCTCCAGCATCAGTTTGGAGTGAATAAATAGTAGAATGTAGTTGTTCTCTTGTTTGTGTTTTGCATTTCCTTTTGGATATTGTGGTTGAAAAATACAGTGCCTATTAATGAACACTTAGTAAGAACGTAATACCTATTAACTGTGGCCTCTAAGTGTTGCGTTGTATGTCTCTTCTGCTGAACAAATTTGAGCGTGTTTGGATTCCAGTATGAACAAATTCTTTTAGTTAAGCGTTCTTAGATTGTAATCTTTTTCCTTGTACAGCAGGTGGCAGCATGCAACAACCAATGAGGATATTGTCTGCATCAATGGACAAAACTGTGATCATCTGGGAACCTGATAAGGAGTCTGGAGTTTGGCTAGAACAGGCAAGTGTCAGTCTTTTCCACAATACAAACTGTATTAAAACTGCCTTTCCCGCATTGTGTGTGTAATAGAGGCAACTAAAACTATAAAATTATGCTAAAGAAAGATAGCAACTTTTTCTTACAGAATGCTCATTCTAATGCTGTGCTGCAAGTAAAACATACTTGTCAAAAATGATGTGATGCAGCATAGCTTTTATTACTTGCTTATTATGATATTAGGAAGTTTGTCAGAATAGTTTCTGCTTAACTGCTATTATTCATAGAAGAGCAAGTCAGGTGCAGTGTAGTAACACACTCATGGTAAGTAGAGGAAGAAACCACCCAGAAATATTTATAGTTAATCCCTGTGGGAACATGGACCCAAGCAGTTCCCGCAGAGCAGATAACACATGATCCACAAGCCCTGTTTTAATCACAGTAACTTTTTCATGGGTATTGACGTTAGGTTGTTCCTCCATTTGAGCTGAATACTCGTGTTTCAGTGCATTATGTTGAATGCTTTTCTAATGTGGGTCATCTTAAATAAACAAGTAATAAAACCCAGATTTATCTAATGCTTTGGTAGATGTCTCTGGAAAAGCAGATCAGCTAGAAATGTATTGCAGTAGTTCCGCTGCATTTGTTTGTGTTGCATTATGCCAACCATTGTTTATGACTTTTCCTGTCACAAAGGAAGTTTTTATGCTCTCCTGGGGAAAAGAAGAGAAGTACAGTAGTAATTACAATTTTTCCTCAGTTCCATTGAAAAGCCTTTCTACCTGAAGTACGAAGTAGTACACAAGTGGGTAATCATATAGAGATGCTGATTGTTGTTATAGTTATGCCTAAATTTACAAATTTCAAAAAAGCAATTGTGCCATAAAACTTGTACTAAGTTGTTACTTTTTTTTACTTTCCATTTGCATTGGTTGGACCTCAGATTGCACGATCCCCCTTCTGAGGTGCTTGTGAAGGAAGACTGTTAAAATGACCTGCAGCTTTAATTCCTATGATACGTTAGTGCTTAATTTTGCAGTTATCCAAAATGTTTAAAGAATATTATATAATACAAACTCTTGCCTATAACTGATATGCATCTTGTGAGATTAGGATGAGTTCATGTTAACTGAAGGCCATTTTCATGGGCATTTCGTTTCTGCTCATTAATTCAGGTGCGGGTAGGTGAAGTGGGTGGCAATACCCTTGGATTTTTTGACTGCCAGTTTAGTCCAGATGGTTCAATGATCATTGCTCATGCTTTTCATGGAGCATTCCACCTTTGGAAACAGGCTTCAGTTAATAAGGTATGTTATTTGTTTTTTTATTATTATTATTAGTTCTTATCATTTACTAGCTCTTGTCATGCAGTTGTATGGTTAATAGAAAATACCAGGTGTAACACTACAGCTTAAAATTAACGATAGAATTGGTCCTTCTCTGAGTATAATATTCTGCAAAAGCCTCACTCTTGCATAGGGAAGAGGCTGGAATTAACCAGAATGTAGAGCTCCTGCCTCTGTATAGGATCCACAGTCACTGGAGCAATTTGAGCACATCTGTAGTTGTGCTTTCCTCAGAAATGGTACCTGAACCACTTACACTACTTTCTTTTAAGTTGGGACAATAAATCAGTATTGGTGTCTGTGTAGCTATGTTGAGGTCTAATAATATGCTATTTTCAAATGTCTATTTTTATTTTTTTTTTTCCTAATCACTTACTTTTGTTACAATATGCTGATTGGTCAGTTGAAAACATATTGGTTCTTACATGTCTTTCTTTAATATTTTAAATAGAAGGAATGGACTCCGGAAGTTGTGATTTCAGGACATTTTAACAGTGTTGAGGATGTACAGTGGGACCCAGAAGGAGAATTTATCATTAGCGTTGGTTCTGATCAAACTACTAGACTATTTGCTCCATGGAAAAGAAAACATGAGACACAGGTATGATCTTCAAAAAGAATTTGTGGGGTTGGTAAAGGCTTGCCTTTCCTGAGTTTGGAATAAGTCCTCTGAGTTTAGTTCTTATCTTCAATATCCTCAAACCATGATATTCAAAACTGCTTGTGTAAATGTTTGGCTTAGTTATTCAGTATGTGTTGTTTTCACTTTAAAAATACTGGTTGCAAGTTTTAGTAATGACATGAATGATTGCTGTTTAACTCCTGAGTTCACCTCTGGGTTACCTTCAGTTAATGTTCTCCTGGGCTTTAACAAAAAAACAACAAACAAACTAGCTCTGAAATAAGTGGTGCAAGAGTACATGCCTGATTCTAGTGATCATCTATTGCTCTTGTTTCATGCTTAGCTAAGCACTGTGGAGGATGACCATAAAGATACTCAGCCTTGTTCTTTTCCCCCATGCAAATTTCTCACTGTATTTCTATTTTATTTATTTATCTATTTTTATATTATTTTGTTTGTGAATGTGACTTTTACCAGAATGATTACCCACCACTGAACTGCATTTGGCACTTATTCCTGCAGCTCCTGAATAACTGTCTTCCAAAAGAAGTCTAAATTTTGTTGTAGGGAAACCCTGTCTGGGAATGCTGCAGTTGCAGTTTCTCATTGATCATTCATTTTGCTAGTCTGCAAACACAGGGTTGTGTTGTTTTGTTTTTGTTTTCTGACAGAACATTCCATTCAGGAAACTTCCAGAAACTAGAGCACTGAAGTCATGTGAGATCCTGTGCTAGCAATGGGGGGAGGTAAAGGGTAACTGTTACCACAGAAGCTTAGCTAAGTCGCTAGCATAAACAGTTCCTTGTTTTCCTTCTTCCAGACTACACAGAAGTGGTAGCAATCCCAGATCAATTTGTAAGCTTTGCATTGTATTTTATGAAGAGCAGCTCCAGTTTGTTTCTCTGCTGCTTTTCCCTTGTCTCCAAGCTGGCAGGTGCAACAGCTCTGTGGAAAAGATAGAATGCTGGATTTGGCATATGGAAACTAAGTACAGAACTAGCATGTTATGTAAGCTGACAGCATTCAAAATAGTTGTCAATAGCATATTCTCTGTGACCTACTGAAGCACCACTTTTCATTATGTATACTGTTTGCTAAATATTTGTCTGGAAGAACTGATCTTTACCTATGCAGCTGTTTCTGTTATCTCTGAAATCTTAGAATTAATGAACTGATTTAGCAGAATGATGGCAGTGTTCTTATCTAAGTGAACTGAATTATTGTACTTCTTCCTGATCTGACAAACAGCAGCCATCTGGCTGGATAGACCACATGTAAAGTCAAGTGACACCAATACTTTTTGCTGTAGGAGAAAGCTGTAGTAACCTGTAGGTGGGGTGAGGTGTCGAGTTGTAGTAGAAATGGGTCACGTGAAGGGGTCTGGAACACTAGGCAATGCAGGCTTTTAAAATGCCAGTCTTTCCTTGCTATACTGAATTTAGCATCTGAAGAATTACAATAGGTAACATCTGATATTTGTCTGGATGATTCAGATATCTATTAAAAGTTCAATAAATATTGAGCTTTTTTACTGAAGAGTACATAGTGCTAAATGCAAATTATTATCCCTTAAAACTTCAATTCTGATACAGTGATGTGTTCACACGTCAGAAATAAGGAATAATGCATAACTTCACTTTGTCATGCAGACTTACTCTTGAAATTTACTGGGAGAAGATTATTGCACAAACTTGCACAACCCTCCTTCTGCTTTGGTGTTTTTTTGTTTGTTTTTGTTTGTTTTTAATTTTATGTACTGTATTTTAAAGTAAGCAAAGATGCACCCACTGTAGGGAAAGGAGGGTTTATTCCAATTTATTGCACCATTAGCTTTTTTTTTTTTTGTAATTGAGTATTTTTTTTCTAATTGGAGAATACTGTGCTGTTTTGGTTGTCTGTAAGATTCCATTCATGTTGTATAGAAGGTTTAAAAATGAGATTTGAATGAACTTTTAGTGTAATACAGGAAATTTAGTCACCGTAATGCCTGTTTGTGTAATACCTGGTATAATATAAATTGTTTGACTGCAGTTTTTCAGGGACTTTAATACTGAGGTAGTATAAATTCTGAGTGAATAAAGTTACAACTAGCAGAACAAAAATTAATTCAGAAATACACACCAGCTGAAATATAGTATATAAATAACAACAAATGATTCTCCCTAAAAGTTTTTTCATGACACTGCATTTGCTAGAAAACGAGTTTGTTTTTTTTAAGAATTTTTACTTTCATATGTAGAATAAATACTATTTTTTAGGAAACCAATGTGAACAATTTAATGTATTCTTGCTATTATTCTTTGCTTTGTGTTACAATTTAAAAAATAGATCTTACCCATTCAATTTTTGGTTAGCTGTTGATTGTCTTTTTTGGATTAAAGTATGAGGAAACTAAAAAAACTGTTTCCAATGAAAATGTTTCTTAAATCATCAGGGTTTTCCAATTTTTTTTGCAATAAGGAGCTATTTTGGTCTTTTCAGTTCTTGTACAGCTTCTACAAAGTGATTTTGCTTATTTTAGTTATGGAGAAAATGCAGGAAGTAGGAGCCTCCTGACAGCAATGCTGTCATGCTTCAGGAAAGGCAGATGAAGGAAGTAGGTACTTCTTGCTACCTTCTTAGGTCTTTCAGAGCTATGTTTTTGAAAGCAATAAATAGCATACAGTCCTCCTTTTTTTTAAAGCAACTCATGCCTTTTGTAAGGTATAGCATGAAGAAGTTTTGGTGACTAGTTTGCCACAAAGGTAAGCAAATGCCCTAGGAAACCTGAGAAGTGACTCCATTCACTAATTGCAAGAGTCTTTGGTGGAAGAATGGGAGTTAGCTGATGTATGTGAGCATACACCAGTTTTATAAACATTAATAGAAGGTTATTAGCTTTCCTTCATGTCAATAAAGTCATCAAGGAATTTATTAATGCTTTTTTACATCTCAAAATCTTACTGCTTCTCTGATTAAGAATTGCATTTTAACTGCATTTCTGTTTGTGTAGGTAACCTGGCATGAAATAGCCCGGCCTCAAGTACATGGCTATGACATGCGTTGTCTGGCAATGGTTGGCCGCTTTCAGTTTGTGTCAGGAGCAGATGAAAAAGTGCTTCGAGTTTTTTGTGCTCCCAAGAATTTTATAGAAAATTTCAGTAACATCACTGGTATTCCAATGGAGAAGCTGTGTTCCCATGTGAGTATTCTAAAGCAGTTATAAATGAAGCCGCCCTTTTCCATGTAAATGACATCAATGCTTTAGAAAGCATCAAATGCATTAACTTACACAAAATAATATAACAATTCTGAACCTTCATTTCTCCTTCCTCTTATGCTAGTTTCTCTGTGTGCTTTTTCAAATATATTTCATGATGTTGTCATAGAACCACTGAAGTTGGAAAAGACCACTAAGGTCATGTAGTCCAAATGTCAACCTATCCACCACCATGTCCACTGAGTACTTGAAATAAAACAAGACATGTTGTCTGAAGAATATGGGTAAATTAAAAAAGAAAAAGAAAAAATCAGCCCAAGTAGACTAGTGTATATATTTGATGATTTGAAAACAAACACTAATGCCTGACAATGTGCTTCTTCTTAATTTGAGGGTGTAGTAGTCTTCTTTGTATGTAATTATTATTGTGTGGTTTTGCACTGTTTTGTGTTTTATTTTTTTTTAATCATATATTTGGAAATAGCACCAAGCTTTCAGCACTGCTGTTGGTAGATCTAGATAAATATTTATAAATAGGTATTTGCTCATGCTTTATTTCCTCTTGGCTGTGGAAACCTTCTTGTGAGGCTAGGACATTTCAGTTCTTGTAGGCCTATGGCTGTTGTATACAAGTGAGTGTTCCTGCTTGTTGGAAAGATAAGACTTGCAGCATTGCTATCCTTTTTTTTGCTACTCATTCACTATAGGAACTAATTCTGATTTTCTTTGCATCCTGTAGAGCAGCCCTCTTTCAGAATTGTTACCTCTTTGCATTCCTGGCTGAAAAGCAGTGTTTTCTGCGTAGATTCTCAAAGACAGATTAGCCCTTCCATTTTGTTTAACATTTGAAATGTGTAGGAAGGAAATCTATTAATTTTTAGTAGCAAGAAGTTACATAAGTAGATATCTGCTAATTGTGTTAAGTTGTTGTAAGCATTGGTACTGATGACATTGTGCAAATAACACTGTGCTTTTATAATACTGGCAGATGTCATTATTTTACTTTTATGTAGACTTTCCTTATCAGCTCTTCCTCTGAGTGCTGTGTTTTGATCAATGATATCACAAAATGTCTTACAGACTGTCTAAAGAGGAAGGCTTCACAAGCTGTAATGATACAGATACTCTTAAACAGCTTAATTGAAATAGTTTTGTGTGAATACTTTTCATTAGTGTGTAAGCTTTGTCTTAACTGTATTCAAATGCCTTCCCTAAGAAAGTGCCAAACCAAAAAGGCCAGCTTTATATTCAAACAAGAAGAGGAGCAGGATTACATGCAGTTCAAGCCTATTGGCTTGTGTTATACCTTACATTATAAACAAGAAGCATTTTTGTTTTAAAAGCCACTTATACGTCAGTGTCAGACATTTTCTGATCAAGTTATGAATATTTAAATAAGTAACATCTTATTCTAGGCCGTCACCTAAATTTTAAGTCCAGTCTTCGTTCAAACTTTTCAAACCCTTGAACAAAGGAATTTTACAGCTGTTAGATCTAAAACTTTTCTATCTCTGCACGAAGGTCCTGAAGCTCACTTACCTGTCTAATTTTTGGCCATGTATTCCAGCCACATCTCTGTGTTGTGTGCTAGATTGTGTTGGAAGCCATGGACAGAGACACCCCCTTAATTCACATCAGAACAGACTACTTCCCAGTCCTATTGCATTACGGACTGCAGTGCTCTCAGCTGAGCCTTATCGTGTGTGTCCTAAATAAAATTATAGCTGAAAACCTGAATGTAGGAATGAAGATACATGCTTTACAACAGAACTTTTGTGCTGAGGCCTTAGATAAAGCTTTTTTTTTTTTTTTCTTGTTCCTCATATTGTCTCAGGTGTGCTGTGGGGTGAGTTGGGAGTTTTCCAAAGCCCCCCCCTTCACTTTTCTCTAGCAAAGTCCCTGTTCTTACACGGATTCATTAATCTATGGCCTTTAAAACCTGGTCCCCACATGTGAAACTTTTCTCTCTCTTTTCAAATTCAGCAATCTTCTGACCTTCCAGAAGGTGCAACTGTGCCAGCATTGGGTTTATCCAATAAGGCTGTTTTTGAAGGTATGGCTAATAAGAAATAATAATGAGAAGTGATGGTGCTTCACATGTAAAGTTTTTTGTTTTTTTTTAAAAAATAATTTCATCAATGTTTGTCTTTTTGCTTGGTCTCGTAGTGAACTTGACTAAGTTTCTAAGCTAGAAGTAAAGTTGTACAATGTGTTTATTTTGTGTGGCAGCACTTAAATATGGCACTTAACAAATACAGTGAGAACAAGTGAGAATGCTTTCTTGATTCAGCCCTTTATGAGCTTTTGGCTCCTCTCCTAAATATCCTGTAGTAAACCTTATGTGAACCCCAAATGCTCATTCCTTGCCTCCCACACTGTGACCCACATTCTGTAGGACCCAAGGCCTCTCCTTGTTGTCTCCACCTAGATGTGAGGCTGGCTGCATGCTTGAGGTGGACCTGGAAATATCTGGGGCACGGTGTTACTCAGATTCCCCAAACTGCAGTTGTTCTTATGTTTTCTCTATGCTCCTCGTTGTTCCCTCAATCAGATTGCTGACAACTTCTAGCAAAAAATAATTGAGTATTATTAAATAAAATTGAATTCCACATTATTAAATCAGGGCTGTCCACTGCTTTTCTTTGTTCTTCTGTAAAATACCAGTATCCTTGACCTTCTAAGCTGTATTCTGGAGTCTTGTTCACATGCTCCTTGGACATTAACACCCTTGTAGAGGTTGTAGAAATAATGCAGTTTTAAGTAGAATTGCACATGTTTTGTATTCTTTTCCTGTAAGAATAGACATAGACCTTTTCTGGGTAAATGACACTTTGTGAAAACATTGGAGAACTATTTCTCTAACATGAAGAAATGTCCTTTCAGTAAAGGCTGGAGAGACACCAGATCATATTCTTAGAGAGGTGGTGGGGATACCAGGACGATAATTGTTTGGAGTGATAACTGTAACTGAACCATATCTTGAGATTAGGTTTGGAAATGGGAAATCTGGTGTTTGATAAAGCATGTGGTAAAAATGTATTTTAATTGAAATCTACAAATTAGTTTTTTTCTGCCTAAACTTTTATCAGAAGGTATGAATTAATAAAGAAAGTATGTGAATTAGATTTTATCTTCAGGATCTTTAATGTTAATATAGCTAAATTGTCCTAAAACCTAATTGAGAGAAAAAATATCCTTGTTGTACATGAAATAATTTATTTTGGCAAAAATCTTTTTTTTTCTGCTCTTTCATAAGACCTTCCACTAACAGAGGGAAATAAGTTCCATCTTCTAGAGTATTGCCACACAGACAGCAATAAAGTTCGTTTGATTTCATGTGCCATACCCAGCAGTAGCACTATAAATAAAAAAGCTGTCAAATTTTTGTGTTGTCCATTATTGTCCACCAAATGCTATCAGCACTGATAGCTTAAGTCCCATAGAACGTTGTTTTTGTTTACTCTGCAGAGGAATCTTACAGTGAACAGCCATGAGGAAGTATCTCAAGTTAGATAAATGCTACTGATTTTTCTTTTCTTTTTTTTTTTTTCAAGGAGAAAGAAGGCAGGATGGATAACAAAATAGTCTTGCTGTTCTCCTGAGTTCTCTACCTACTTTTTTAAACAGCTATATTCAAAATTTGCATTTCACAAAAAAGCACTTTACCCCAACTTGATATCTTAAATATTTCTTTCAAAGTGAATGATTGAGTTGAATTTTAATGTAACTGAATAATTTCAGTTAGTACGTTTGCCTACAGCTACGAAGGCTGAGCACTTGGCAGGTTTGCTGAAGTTTGCAAACTATGTAGACTTCTTCAAGCATGACTTTTCATGTAGATGTCTACATGATATGAAATTGAACTTTATTTCTTTGGATTTTTTTATTTAAATTTTCAAGGAGGAAAATGATTTAACACTGGGGACGCAACAGTTTCAGCTCCTATTGACTGATTCTTTGATATATCAAAGTCTCTTTGGGAATCTCTGAAAGAGACTCTGATAGTGAAGAGGTTAATCCCAGAGTGGAACTAGTTCAAAGGTTGGATTGTTCTTATGTCTTTGTTGGTTTTTTTTTTTCAAAAGTCTTCTCAGTGTTACATGCATCAGAATCACTGGATTCTAATGTTTGTATTAATGTTGCTTGGATTTTCAAAATAATGGAGGGTTTTCCCTTGTGTAGTACATGCTTATATTTTCTTTTATATCAAATATGTTCTCTACAGCTAATAAAGTCCTTATTTTGAATAGGAGATATATCTGCTCAAGTAGCTGAGGATGAAGAAACGTTTAATACTATTTCTAATCAGTATCCTGAGACATATTTTCAACCCCTGATCCTTACAGGTATGAGATTATTTTCTGTTGTATGAAGTAGAGAATGAGGTTTATTGGGTATTATCTTAGAAGCATAATTTAGCTGATTTTAGATTATCTACTGCCAAATTTAAATATGTTATACAAATGTCTTTTAGAACCTCCTCAAGAGGATCACTTGCTGCAGAATACATTGTGGCCTGAAATTCAGAAGTTGTAAGTTTTTTTTTTTTCTTTCCCTAAAGCTATTGCAATATTAATGTAGTCTGGTCTCATAACTCTACCTGACTTACTACCTGATATGACCCTGTGCAGCATATATCTTGTAAAATAAATACATGTATCACAAAGGTAAGAGCCTGAAGAAAAGGGCAGGAATTTTTGCTTTCTTTTGCTTTTTGGCAGACTGTGCAGATCATGTCTGTCTTTCTGCACTGGAAGTAGTGCTGCTACTCAAGGCTGATGGGGCAAATAAGTAACTTCCTCTCAAAGCCCAAGGAAGTTGTCAGATGCAATAGATGGAAGCAGCAGCTGAAACAAGCTGTGGTTGGTGGTAGAGCAAGGAGGTGACTGTGGGTTAAGATGGTTGCAGACCCAGTTTGGGTATTGAATGCTGACAAAATAAGTTATGGTTCACAAACGTAATAGGTCATGCAAATAATTGTTGAGGTTGCAGGGTTTTAGAATTCTTCTACTGTGTTTTGTTCCTTCTTTTTCTGTGATTCATTCAAAGTATTAATTTCATAATAATTTGCAAATGAAGTTTCTAATGTATTTGTTCCCTCAGGGTCTCAGTAACATTAGGCTGCAATTGCTCAAGCTTCAAAGTTTTCATGAGCTTCACTCAAAAGAGCTGGTCTTAGTTACAAGTTGTTGCATGCTAACCTTAGCCAAAATTTGTTTTCTTGACTCACTGTCTATTAGATTGGCTCTTTGAACCTCTCAGAGTGTTTGCAAATGGCAGTACCAGGGAGTTGATAGGAAATGGAGGGGATAATGGAAAAAAGTCTTAACTGTAGATTTTGCATGGCTGTTTTAAGTCAGTTCAGGTAACAGTGCTGCTCTCGAAGCAGAGCTGTGAGTAGGAAACTGATTATCTACATATGTTGGGCAGCATTCTCATTTCTGATCTTGAATATGCGAAGAAATTAGTCATTTCAAGTTCTTATGTATTTTCTAATGTGAATCTCCTGAAACAGTAGTCTCGGGCAGAAGCAAGAATGTTGAGTCTTCGATGACTACATTTACCAATTTTACGGCTTTGTTTGGGGAGAGGAGATGGAAGAGGAAATATTTAAAACACAACAACAAAAACCCCAACATTTTAGGAAAGCTGCTTCCAAATTGCTTTCATTTGGCTGAGTAGGAGGTTTTGTTGGGAACTCATCTTTATGGTTCAGCTGGGCAGTTAATCTTCTTTGAATACTTTAAAATGCTTTTACACCAGGGAAGCTGGCAGGAACTAGACTATGTCTGTATGTTTTGTAATTACCAACGATTACATTAAATGCTTCTCCTGTGCACGCAACGGCTGCTAATGCATCTGCTTTATTTAAGTAGTTTGGTGGTGATCATAAGTAGTGAAAAGGGGCCAAGGCCAAAATTTTCCTTTGTTTGTCTTAACGTTTCTCAGTGTTTATTGTTGATATTCTGCTATGGGAGTACTGCTAATCAAGCCTCGTTTAGTAAAATATCCTTTATTTTATGATGGCTCTCAGGTGACTTATCAGCAGTTTTTTCTGTAGTTAGAGAAACTGTTAATGATAGAGATTCCTTTGTGTGAAAGGAACAAGATGCAGGCTGTCTTTCAGATTTTCTTTTTTTGTTCGGGATAATCTTGAAAGAAGTAACATGAAATTGCATAATGCAGATTTCAAGTTACCATGGCAGCAGAAAAACAGCATGAGGAACTGACTTGCCAAAAATAGCCTCTTTGTTATTGACATTTGTGTATTCCCAGCTCTAGCTCAGCACCAAATTTTGAAGGATTAGTGTTCAGTTTTGATAACTATTTGGTTGAGTGGGTTTTAGCATGAAGAACTTGCTGAATTTTTTACATAATCTAATAACTTTAAGATAAAAATATGATAAATCCTATGAGAATATGCTAATCCTTATCCTCTTGGAAAATTACCATAGAATATATATATGCAATATGTATGCTTTATGTAATACACTTGGAAGTCCTGAGACATCCTTTTAGACACTAGAAAATTACAGTAATCATTTGCCTGGAAACTTTGAATGTCCATTCGGCTCACCTGCGCATAAGAAAATGTTATGAATTACACATTGCTAGGGCAAAATGGCTTGTGGCTGGAAATGTCATTTCATTATTCATTCATACAGTTGCTTTGCTCTCCATTGTGAAGCCTTTTTTGTGCTGCATTATGTAATGAAGGGATGGGATTGAATGTGTATGAGTGGAAGGAGGGCTTGTGACTGGGACTTGCTGTCTTCATCTTTAATGAAGTCACACCTCAGTGAGTCCCTGCTTGTACAGATGCATATTATAGTTTAGTTTGTTTTTTGGGTGGGGGGTAGAGGGAGAGTTTGTATCTTCTTGGGCTTTCCAGGATTTGCATGAAGCTTATTGGCACAAATTGTCACTTGTTCTGGACGTTGCTCTAAGCTTTGGGGATTGTTCCTGCGGAGCAAAGTTGTAGCTGATGATGGTCCATCACTGTTTGGGAGGGAGGCACCTTCTCCTTGATCAGAACTCTGTTCTGATGTAGCTCTGAAGAGATGAGCAGTTCTCCAGATAAACTCTTCTGGTCAACAGTATTGCAAAGGCTTTGTTATATGGGACTGATGTTCATGGGATTTTACTTACAGCCAAAACAGCCATCTGTTTAAATGGCAAATTACTGTCTGTGTCTGTCGAATAGAGTAACTGCTGGGCATTTCCCACAGACAGACTCCCACATTCATGTCTAAAGTTTGGGGACATGCTGGCACTTCATGAAGAGTGTGTACAGGCCTTCTGGGAAGAGAGAGACTGGTGGCTGCTTAATTGGAACGTTAATTTGCAAATTTGTGTCTTATAATGGTGAAGCTATTAATTTGTGTCTTCCCCTCACCCTTCCCAGAAGGGTTGTCATCATAATGTTTACTTTAAAAGTAGATTTCTGAAAGTTGCCTTATATTGGAAACTATTGAAAGTCAAGTTTTTAAAACTGAAAATATTCCATTCAAGGTATGCTTTCAGTGAAATTCAGTGAAGGAGAAACAGCTTGTGGAATAACTTGTGAAACAAGTCTTTGGTTACTTTGTTTTTATCTCATATAATGTAATACTGCAGAGGGTTTAACAGCAATATTTTGATCTTCTCTATGCAACTTTTGCTCTTATTAAATAGAAGCATTAAAATACTCCTCCTCAAATGAAAACAAGACCTAAGACAGCATCTTTTACAAAGTCACACAAGCATTGGTCAGACCAAGAGCCTCTAGAGACCAGTGTTATGCCCAGGGACTATAATGGCAATAGGACATTTGTTTTCAAAGATATGAGATCCTTGCTTCAGTTAGTCCAAGCAACAACATCCAAGAAAAAAACAACTGCAGATGAAGTGGCTGGCAGGGAAGACAGTGTGATGTATTGCCTAGGCTGAGGCTGACTCCTTGCTCTGTGGCTGTGGTGAGTCTAGCTGTTTCCGACAGCATGGCAGACTAGACTACATGATTTGGGGGTAGAAGCAATTGTGCTGTCTTATGAAGAAGAAAACTCTGTGTAAGCAGACACCCCAAGGAAGATGGTTCCCTGCAATATTCACTGTTTTCAGCTCAGGAGCTTCTGAAGCTGAATATGTGTTTTTATTATGTTTCAGCAACACTCACTGTTTTTTTCTTCCATTTACTTGTGGAGTCCTGTTTGAACCAATGTAAAATTGCAATTCTCTTGATACCTTTTCTCACAGAGGTCAGAAAATGCATTGTCTCTGATGTAAAGAGTCCTCCCAACAAATTTTGTAGTAGAAGAGACAATGCCCTTTCTGTGCCTGTTGTTGTTTGCAGTTCAGTGTTGTTACCCCTGTCATACAGAACAAGGGGTAATCAAGTAAATAGTCTCTGAGCATAAGGTCACAAGGAGTAATAAACAAGCCCTGATACCTCTGTACTTCATGGCACTCAAAACAGTGTCTTTACATTGTCATTGTTCAGGAGTGATGGGAAAGCTGGAAAACAGGGAGGTGATTCCAAGTAAGGTTGGCCTCATGCAGAGATTGTTTAACTTTGTCCATGAGGATTTCTGTGTTATTCCTTAAATATTCCTGTGTTTCTGATTAGATAAGTGAGTTACGTGGCCTAGGTTTCATCCAGAATTCTTACGGCTTTGCTTTGAACAGAAAGTGAAATGCTTGCTTTGGTACTATAAATCCCTCCAGCAGCTGGTATTTAGCTGATATTTTTCTACTGTTTCAAGATGTTTCCAACTTTGTTCTGCTTCTGATCTCTGACTGATAGTAGTTTGTTAGCCTTTGTTTTTCTTTTGTGATTTTAAAATATGTGGCTTCTAATTTTTATTGATAGCGTTAAATTTGTTTTACAAGAAAACAAGAGTACATTAAATGCTGTCTGCTTTTTGTTAGTAATTGCAGTAGGTTTTGCATTGCTGATGATTTAGGACTATGAAATGTGCTGGAGTGGTTCGTCTGTAGTCAGTTCCTAAACATGAAAGAGTTTATGCAGATGTTTGAATTGAATGCAGAGTATTATCAGGATTTGTTTGGAATGCGAAACAGAAAGTGTTGTTTGTTGAAAGATGCTCCTAGTATGTATCTTTCATTTTTGCAAAGGGATTTAAGTTAATATAAAAACCCTAATGCATACTGCAGAAATGTCTGTGCTGTGATAAATAGCTTTTGAAATTTATTTCAGGTATGGACATGGATATGAAATTTTTTGTGTTGCTTGCAATAATTCAAACACTGTAATTGCCTCAGCGTGTAAGGTAAGAAAAGATTCTAGCACCATCTAGTGAAAAGTGCTGTCATATTTCTAGGGCTGACAGAAGAGATGTCAGAATTCAGTTTGTACTGTACTGTATCTGCTCTTTAAGTTAACGTGAAAGATTTCTTATAAATGCCAGTTGCCTTGCAAAGGTGAGATTGAATACAGAGATGTTGTTATTCAGAAATAATTCTGTGATTTGTTCAAAGTTCTTAGGAAGAGGAATTCTAACAAACAGTTATTTGTAACATTTTTCTGACACATTGTCATTGCTGGTAGAATGCAGTGAAACAATCTTGAAACTTTGTAGAAGGAGCTGGACTGTAACTCATGAAAAAAAAAGCCGCTTAACATTTCGGTATATTGAAATGTGTGATTTTTATATTTGCCTTATTTAATTCACACTGGTTTTTTTTTTTTTTTTTTTTAATTTTTTTTTTTTTATTTTTTTCTCCACAGGCTTCCAAAAAAGAACATGCAGCAATTATTTTGTGGAGCACTTCTTCTTGGAAGAAAATACAGAGTTTGCCATTTCACAATCTGACTGTTACTCAGCTGGCATTTTCACCTAATGACAAACTTCTATTAGCAGTGTCCAGAGACAGAAATTGGTCACTGTGGAGGGAAGAAGTCTCATCAGAGTCAGGTAAGGTACATGGGATGGATTTACACATTTGAAGACTTTAAGATTTGTTCGCTATTTTTGGCTTCAAAGTATTTGGAAGATAATTGGTAAAATATTTTAAATGGACACTTTCCTTACAACTATTAAGTATTTAATAGTGGTATGTGTTCCTGTAGCTTTAGGAAGTGCAATTCATGGTGCATAGAAAAACTATAATGGGAGTTAAAATGTAGAAAAGGATATGATCAGGCATTAAATACTGTTTGATTGAAGTCTTCCTGCCTTTTACTTGTGGCTGTACATTACAAATTTACTGAAATCAAGTACATGAGCTGGAATACAGCGTCTGAATTTCAAACTGGTTTTCTGTCATGCAAAACCATTGTCTTGGTGTTCTGCACAAGCTACATTAGAAGGTTCATTATTACATTGCTGTGTCCTGCATAGTACTGCCTTGACTCTTTTTGCAGGGCATGATGCTCTGAGGCTCTTGACAGGATTAATTGCTGTCTTTGGTGTGGCTTTCTTATAATCCTACGCAATTGATTAATTTGGCTCGCTGTCTCTGCCTGTAAAATAGAACTGATGGTAAAGATTCAGTTGACTTTCTCATTAGGACTTTAAGCCTTGCAAAATTGTAAGGAAATTGCTGTTGGACATGAATGGATTCCTTGAACAGATGCTTATGCTGAAAACAATTATCATTGCACCATTGACTTAGTAAGAGCCCAGTAGTGTTTATGTGCTACAAGGTTACTGAGCTCTATAGAGTTTTCTCACAGACTTGGCAGTGAGTTTTCACCCTGTCACACAGTGTCTGCGTTCTGGCTTGAGATTCTGTTCTGCTCAGACTTTTATTTTAAAGCCTGGCATATTGTCCAGAGTAGTTAATATTTTGGATTAAAGAGTATGAATTCATACAGAAAGCAGAGGAAGCCCTTTTCATCTATTCATCACAAACTTCTCCATCTACAAAACATTGTTATTAGTATAAAGCAAGACTACTTGTATTGGCATCCCAATAAATGCAGTTATTCAACTTCTATGTTCTGAAATGACAGTTCTTTCTAATTAGGAAAAGCATTCCCAAAGCTTTGCTGTCTGCTAATCAGATTTGCTGCCTGATTTTATGCGTGGTGAAACCGCAGCTTATCTTGTTGGGAGCAGATTAAGCTTTGGGATTGGATCATTGTGACTTCAGCTCTTGGGCCTTTACTGGTAACAACTAGAATCTGTAGTGGGTTGCTGGGCTGTATGTGTACACATGGTAAAAACTGCACTATACTAAAGCTTTTGAAGTCAGTGTTTTTATTAAAAACTTGTATGGAACCTTGATATGTAATGCTTAAAATTTGTTTCTTGTGAAACAGGTAAGCGTATAAAGGAAACTGTTCCCAGTTTTCATGCTGTAAGGACTGAGTGGTGTGGTCTTGGATCAGTACTAATTATGTTCAATTGATTAATGTTGGGAAAAAATACTAAGAACTCCTGATACTATTACTAAGTACCTCCCAAGTGCTTTAAAGATGAGTGTAACGGCATCCAATTATTCCTGCTGTTCATATTATTCTTAATTATTCTAGGTACTTCTAGCAAACAAAGTAGTTGAAGTAAAGGTTTTTTCTTTGTTTTATTCCAGGACCAGTTTTCAGTTGCTGTGCACACACAGACAAAAATACAGCTGTTCACAGTCGAATCATTTGGTCTTGTGATTGGATGCCAGATAGCAAATATTTTGTTACTGGCAGTCGGGACAAAAAGGTAATTAATGTAAAAGGAATTTTAAAAGCCCAGAATCATTTTAAGTATATTTAAGATTAGCAAGTGCTGTATTCTAATGGACTCATGGTCTATAAGCACTAAGAGACAATAGTGTATGTTACCACAGAAATCAGGGAGACTTTCATATGGTGGATAAAGTGCTCAAATATGTGTACAAGACTGCGTCTCAACTTTGCACAGTGAGATAAGCATATGTCACAAACTGTCATGGGTATCTACTTCAGGTTTTATTGGATTTTCATAATATAATCTGTATTTGTCATTAATATATTTAATGCAGTCAAGCAGACTTTCTAAGCAGTCGAATCTTTGTAGGTAGAAACTTTTAGGGGTCGTCGCCTTTGTTCTGTGCTCTGGGAGTATTTTAACGGAGGGATTCCTAGACGATTCTCTTTTTCACAGGTCATCATCTGGGGTCAGTGTGATTTACCTGTGACTACTGAAGGCAGTGTGTTGGATTCAATCAAACCTTGTTCAACAGTACTGGATGCTGGAGATTCTGTTACTGCCGTTAGTATCAGCCGTGTGCTTACTCCTGATGGAAGGTATTGCTGACTTGTATAGTGCCATTCTGAATTCATCTTGAAATCAGTATGTTTTTCCCCTTTAGTAATTTTGTGTGGCTTAACAGCTCTTAACATGTACCTGCCAAGTATTTGACTACTTGAATTCTTTTTTCTTTCCTTAACCTATTTTCGGGTGGGGAGGAGAGGGTCTGGGGAGAGGATGACAGAGTGGGTTAATGCATCTGAGACACATTTGTTCTTATGATAATGTTGTCTGGACTGATGCTGTAATAACCTGCTTATGAGTATTATATTTTTTATTCTAACCAAATCAATTTACAGATTCCTGTTTTGTTCATTTTTATGGAGGTGCTTTGATTTATACTGATTTTTTTTTTTTTTCATGAAAAAGTGTATATTATTTTGAAGGCTGAGTTGCAATGCTTTGTTTGAGTGCTTAGAATTCTGCAGTTCTTTTAGAATTAATGCAGTTGTTCTCTTTATAGGTATATTGTCGCAATAGGCTTAGAGAATGGGAAGATTAACTTTTACACATGGAAGCAGAGTGGGCAAGAACCATCAGCAGCTGACTGGACCAAGTGTGTTGAGATGGATAACAGGTATATCTTTTGAAGTATTTTAGGAGCAATTAAGTGTTCTTACCAAGACTGACAGTACTGGAATTTTTTTCTTATGTTATAAAATGATATGAAACTGCTTTATTTTCATACAAATTTGATATCCTTTTAGGAAAAGACTGATCCCTGGAAACCTGCGGATGTCTTTTATCATAGTCTGAAAATAAAAAATAAAGCTTTTTTAGTGTTAACCAGAGAACAAGATGGTAGAAAATACTGAATGCTGGGGGAAAGAATCACTGAATAACTGTCTGTATACATTTGCAAAGAATTTTGAAGTAGGTGACAAAGTTTTAAAGAGCAGCTTATAGCAAAAACTAAGGGAATCGTAAGTTGAATATGGTGCTGCTTTGGTGACAATAAGAGAAACTCTACAGAGAGACTTTGAATATTTAATTTGGAGCATTTTCTTAGATTCTTTCTCTATGAATTGACATGGATAGTATCAGAAATGAAAGTTGATGGTGACTTTGGCCTGTGTACTTGTAGTGAATTTGAAAGGGATGCCAAATGACAGGAAATGACATACTAAAACCCAAAAATCTGTCCTATCTTGGTAACTGAGATGCTAGATCTTCAGCCTAACATGACAAAACTTCAAATCAATAACTGTTTAAATAATTGATGACCGTGAAGATAAAATGTCACTGGTATTAATGGCCCTACTTAACTTCATACCTACTGATTATCACAAGTCAGCTTTTCCTCAGTTGGTAGAGTTAAGTGTACTAATTATATAAATGTTGATGTTTACATTCACATACCCAACTGTGCTTGACATTTCGCAGTTATGTATGGATTTCTTTTTGTTGCAGCCAAAGCCATGCTCTTGCTGTGAAACGTTTGTGCTGGAGACATCGTGAGGGCAGAGCTGGACATAATGATCAGAAAAACAGCGAGTGGTTGCAGCTTGCAAGTTGTGGAGCTGATCACTGTGTTAAAATATTCAATGTCAACAGATTTGCTCTTTAACAGAGACAGCAGGCCTGTCTGTGCGAAATTAATTCGCAACACTTTTTCAGCATTTTTTAATCTTGTTTTTGAATTGTTTTCTGCTATGGAAAGTGAAACATCTGAAATATAACTTATTAAAACAACTTTGATAACTGGAGATGTTTTTCTAATTCTGCACTTCTGGGAAATGTGAAGTATTTATATATTTTGATTGGTGAATGTCCTGGAGATCAGGGATAGGAGGTGTGGGATATGGCATAGAAGAAGGTTAAGGAGATCTCTTTGTTCACTGTGAGTCTGGAGTTGGTGGGAGGCAGCCAATAGTTGGGTTCTTGCATGCTTGGGTTGAAAGTGGAGTATGGAATTGTTTGAAACACCTTATTATTAAATGCAACTGTCAGTTAGCCTGTCAGTGCTGGCACTGTTTCAGCATCTGCAGTTAACCAGAGATCAGAATTGACTACACATCTCTCCCTGATAGCCTTCAGAGTGTTTATTATAGTACCTGTCCAAGTCTTAGACCAGCTGGCTATAGAACAGGCATGTCCAATCCACTGGCTGCATGCAGACTGGCATGGCTAGCAGTGCAGCGCGCCCTGCCTTGCTCTGCTCTGTAAGGGTGGTGGCTCTTCCCTGTGGAGTGACCCTGAGCATGCACCCATCATTAATAACACTGTGTGAACTGGAACACAGGGAGGGCTGTGCTGAGCAGCACGGACTCAAGCGATGACAAATAATTGTGTTTTGATACACTGGCTAAGCAAAGAATACACAGTCATGCTTTCTGTTGTGATAAAGGAGTTTGAGAATAGATTTCAAGATAGCAAAAAAATCATGAATTTGTTTGTGGCACCGTTTTCAGTTGATATAAATACATTACCTGCAAATTTCCAAATGCAATGTATAGAGCTGCAATGAGATATTCAACTCAAAAATCTGGTGGTGTCTTACAAAAGTCTAGTAGAGAGACATCTCTTAGAAGAGAAAAATACCTTTCACTTCACAACCACACCTTATTCATGTTATTGCTTTTTGGCTGCATGTTTGTGAACGGTTGTCCAGGATAAAGTACAAGAAGAATAAAATTTCATCAAAGATCTCTGAACACCTTGAGAGCTCACTGAGAATTGCAACCACTTCTGCTGAGGAAGACTGATACATTAGTTTCACAAAACAACGTCAAATATCCCACTAGTTATATGAGTTTGTTCCTCTTTTTTTAATGTTTTTAGAAAAATGCTTAAAATGTTTTGTTACTTAAATATATTAATGATATTATGTCTTTTAAGATGGCTGCTTCAAAAACAATGCATCCTATTTTATGATGTTAGACCATGACGTCTGAAATGGATGTTGATATGGCAGTAGAGGTTGAGCCTTCCCACCAATATCCCATTACATTTTGTTGTCATAAGACAGATGTCAGCAGAGGGGCAGTCTGACACAATGGCATCTGACATGGAAACGTGGATGGAGCAAAAGTGTGGAATTGAATTTCTCCATGCAGAAAAATAAGACGTCCATTCACATTCATCGACTCTTGCTGAATGTGTGCAGAGCCCATGGAAATAAATAGGAGGCATTTCTTTCTGAACAACATGTGTATGTGCAGCTCAATACTATTCCTCTTTACTCATTTTGGCCTAGACAAGCCAAAGGGTTGGACATCCATGCTTTCCAAAACTTGCATGCCTTGCCCTAGAGGGAAAAGCAAAACCTATTCATTGTTCCTCTTGTATTTTATGCTATCTCTGAACAAACTTTCTTTACCATTAACAGTGTTGTTAAATGAGCATCAGCTATTACACGATTAAGTAATGCATTCCATTGTATCTGGGATTTTTGTAACTCAGTCATATTGAAGAGTTCCTCATTGTTTCAACTTCAGATGCGTCAGATCAGTCTGTTGCTCCCCTCAGTTAAAATGTTTGCAACAGACACTTTTTATTTAAGGTAGAGATCATCTAGAGACTGACACATAATAGTCTTTTGCATTGTTCCCATATCACTTTACTGTGCATTTTTTTTTTTTTTTTAATCATATACCTCTACCTATTCAATAGATCTAATACAGTTTCTCAAATCAGCAGCTGGGTAACAACTTGGGTGTTGACTTCATTTTCTCACCTGGTAGCAGAGAATTTTTTTTGCTCCATGTAAGTGAGATATAAAGGAAAGTAATTTTAGAGGTAATTTTGTGAGTAACATTGGCTTCCTAATGAAGAATACAGTTCTCTAAACAGCAAAATAATACTTTAAGTATTAATAATAATTTAAGATTACTATGAAAGTATCTACAGGATTTCTATGTTGCTTGATTTTTTCTCTATTTACAAAAAAAAAAAAAAAAAAAAAAAGGGGAAACATTGGCAATATTCATTCTATTCCATTATCCTTGTTTTATTGGTGTTATAAACCCTGGTGGAATAATGTGCCGCCTTGCTGTATTTCCTTCTTCCTGCAAAAACTCGATTAGAATTTTCTACAGTTTTTGCCCACTTGAATGGCTGTCACTTTTGTTTCTCCCATGCTTTTCCTTTGTGTGTACTTTACTGAGAGACCCTATTTCATACACTGAAATAATGCATCCATCCATGCATGCACGATTTATGACATTAAAGAAAGTTGTGACTTCTGTCCTGTTTACCTGACTGACCTGACCACAGTCTTGTTTGCCTACAAAGATCTCTTATTTCTGCATTTTCTGCTGTGCTGCCCTGGTGGTCTGTCAATGCTGTTTTCTGCTGTCAAGTGCCATGCCTCTTTCCATTCCAACACACCCTGTTTTCTAGGAGGACAATTGTTTTTCACTGCTTTCCTTGAATGAAATCTTAAGTTGCTCTTGTGTACAGTTGGAAGCTAGTCAGCCTCTATATTTTGCAAGTTGCTTAAGTCTCTCTGTTGCAAATAATCCAATGCCATAAAAATTTAAAGTTAAATTTAGTGTTTCTGCCAATGTATCTTCTCAAGACTGTCATGTAAGCTGTACAAGCTCCAGTCGTAAGAGGCTCCAACTTTCCACAGCACAGCCTGTTATTGCATTTGTTTTCCCTTAACGAGGTGATCACATACAGCAGTCAGAAGTGAAAACTTACTATCTGGAATCATAATACTCCCCATCTTTGCATTATTCTCTCCTGTCAGTGCTTAGGTAAGGCTTAATGATGCTGTTCTAGCAATAAAAAGCCACAGGCAAATAGTGCATGTCAAAACACACACATCTAGAGCAGCCTAATCCTCTGCATCACATTTTCTAACTCCGATTAGAACTTCTGAGTTTGTTTGCATTTCTGTCATCAAAATGGACAAAGGCAGTGTACTTATTTTAAATCCCAGTGCTCCAGCAGGATGCAAAGCTAAAATGACATCCTTATAAACTGAGGCTCTCCATAGCACTACTTATAATTTACTGTCTTTTTTTTGACCAACCATTGCTTCTGAAGCGCGCAGAACTGGGTCTGTGCAGGTTTAGGGAGCTAAGCTGCTTATTGCCTCTGCTGTGCTGAAGTGTTACTTCCTGAAGTTCCTGGTCTGATTGATGTACGCACTTCTGGAGCTTACCGTTAAGTAATAGAGTGCGTTTAATGAAAGGTTACCATAAATGCTAAAGCAGATGAGATCTTGTCACACAGATTTAGGCCCTTAGCTAACTGCAAGTTTTCAATACTTTTCTTGTGGTTATGCGTGTTGGTGTTCCCTTCCATCCTGACTCCAAGTTTCAGATCTTTGCCTAGATGCTGGTTTTTTTTTGCCTTCTGTCCTTACACTATAAAATGTGTGGACTCTTACCTTCAAACTTTCTGCATTTGTGACAGACTGGGGATGAATTGAGCCAGTGGATTAGAACAACTTATAGGATATATGTGGACACTTGTAAACCAGAAAAAAGATTGGATCAGGGTAAAAACTTAAAACTCCTTTACAAAAATGTAACTGCAACTCTGACAAAATGCAGGCACTCACCTCATGTTTGCCCTTATGCGATTCATGCTTTGTTGTTTTTCTTTTGTGATGGTGTTTATCAGAAGATAAGTGGCTTGCATTAGACCAAGAAAACAAAACAGTTTACTGGATTGTTCATCTAATTGCTATTGAATAACACCACTGTAGCATTATCAACTTTTAGCCCAAAATCTCAATTCTAGGAAGCAAACTGCTTTATATATTGCAGTTGTTGGGAAAGTTTCCAAATATATGGGTTTCATTCGGCTTCTTTCCCTCTCCTCCAATCCCTTTTGAAATATGGGCTGTTGAATCTTTCTGCATCAACTCCAGGCAGAAATACATCTCAAAAGCCCGTAATCATCACAGTCTGAATCTGCAGTATCTGTTTTCAAATGCAATACACCATAGCACTTATTCCAAGTCACTTTTGAATTGCGAAGTTAGACTGGTGCTTTACCTCCTACCTGGTTCAAAGCCCCAAGGAAATGTAAACCAGCTGTGCCAGCAGTCTCCAAGGTATCCCATTCAGGAACAGTTGGGAAACACATTATTAGAAAGGAGAGAGAGGTATTCTGCAGCAGGAAATCTTGAGTCTGGCATCTTAAGTGGATGAAAAAAATATGTTTTTATCATGGAGCAATAACGTATTGAAGTCTTTATGGGCTCTCTGTATAGGAAAGATGAAAATAGAAAGCAGTTTGTAGTCGCTCCAAGGCTTTTTCTTTTGTTTTAGTGACCAGCCCTTTGTGTACCTTGTACATTATGTTCCATGTACAGTGCCACTGAGAGTTAGACTTAAAGGAATAGGATTGTCTCATCTCAAAGAGGAGAGACGTGAAAAAGAAAGCAAGAAATTGTGTGAGTCTTGTTCATAATTAGAGATCTATAAACAAAAAAGCCATCTTGAATCTTTCAGGCCAGAATGTAGGCATCCCCAGGTCTGTTTTGAGCTAAAGAGACTGACTTTTGAGGGGAGAATGTTGTGGCTTGCACAAAGACCTGGAGAAACTGAGCTTGTGTAAAATGGAAAGGTGCAAGGAGCTGATGTTCAGCCTGAAGAGAGCCTGCCTGGTGCTTGCTGCACAGTGCCACCAACAGCAAGTTCTGGAGTTTTGTGGTGCTGAGGAGGGTGTTTACCCTGTAACTTCCCTAACCCTTCAGCCTCCAACCTTTCCCAGTTTTACTCAGTGATTCTGGGGCCTTCCCTCCACT